CACGTCGCATCACAATCGCACACCTGCAGGGCGAGAGACGGCATTGCGTTCGTTGCTCGTGTGTGTTCAGTGGAGGAGGCGGTGACGTATTGTTTTGGTTTGTGCGCCGCCTTTTGGTTTTGTGGTCCTGCCAACAGTGAGTGGATGTTGTTGTGCCGTGTTCATTCCACATCACGCTCGCATCACCCATCCACACCAGTCGAGATGAACGCCTCGCTTCTCGCACACGCGATGCTGGTGCTGCTGGTGCTGCTGGTGCTGCTTGGTATGTCGTCCTTGATGACGACCGACGCTGCTGCAGCTCGCTTCGACGAAGCGGCCTTTCAACAGCAAGTGCAGCGCCTCCAAGCAGCCACAGGTCGGTGCATGAATGTGTGTGTGTGTGTGTGTGTGTGTGTGTGTGTGTGTGTGTGTGTGTGTGTGTGTGTGTGTGTGTGTGTGTGTGTGTGTGTGTGTGTGTGTGTGTGTGTGGTTGTCCGCTTTGGCTATTCTCCTGCTTTGTTGATACATGTCACCAATCATCTCCCCTTCCCTCCCTCCCCCGTCCCCGCGATCAGCAGGCCAGGTGTTTGTGTATGACAGCTCGTGGCTGCTGAACGAGACCGCTGTTGACCCACCAACGTACTACCAAACAACACAGCTCCTCGCTGCCATTCAGGTGCACCCCCAATCCATTTGTATGTGTGTATGTATGTGTTCACGTCTTCGTGCATGTGAGTGTTTCATCGAGCTCAACACACACACACACACGCATGCGCACACGCGCCCATATGTTAGGGCATCGTGAACCGGGATCAGCCACAGCTGTTCTTGAACCACACCCCTGCCGACGCAGCATGGTTCCCATTCATCCAACAAACGGTATGCCTCATGACAAGCTCCTCCAACAGAACCCTAACCTCAAACACCATGTCCAATCGCTCACCTCCATCTCCATACACACACACACACTGTTCTTCTTCATAGTGGTTCAAGGACGTCCAGTTTCAAACGCTGGACACCGTCGACGACATCTTGGACAAGTACATGCAACACTTCAATGGCACTGCCATCTATGACACGAACGTATGTGACCATCTAAGGGACCTGTTTGCCATGCATATTCCCCACACCTCAGCATTATGGTCAATCGACGCGTATTGTGCTGTCATGAATCGTGTGTGCCCGTGTATTCCAGTACCTGACACTTGGCCACACTTACCTTCATCAGCCTCATAGCGAGCCGAGCATGTTGCTTTTCACCTCAAAACATCTGTCTCCCTTGCCCTTGCCCGTCCCTTCCCTTCTCTTCCCTTCCCCTCCTTTATCTTCCCTTCCCTTCCCTTCTCTTCCGTGTCCTGTTGCAATGTCAAACCCCTCGCGCTTACCCTATATGAAATGCCCAACCCTTCACCGTACACAGGTGCCGTCGACGTCACTGGTGGCTGCGTCGCTCGCTGGCGCTTACAATCTACTTCCCGTTGCCTTTGACCCCAACGGCGACCCGAACAGCTGGTACTCGCAGCTTGTGCACACGCGCAAGATGCGTGTGGCCTACAACCTCACGGGCAAGTTTGACGGGCGCGTGACTGGCAGCAGCAAGTGCGATGCGTACATGTGGGCCATCGACGAGCTCATCCGCACCGGCGCGTGCACCCCACACGTGCACGGGTACATGATTGACTACTTCTGGACGGGCGTGGCGTCCAAGGCGCCGCGGTTGGGCAACACCATCCCCAACCAGGATTACGTCATTGCGCGACGTGGGTTCTTCTGGGACCTCGATGTGTGGCAGGACCAGGCCCCAAATGACGACCCACACCAGCCGCTCGGCACAGACTACCACACCCTCGTCGCCATCATGAACGCATCCAACGCCCAAATGACAGCAACACAAAGCAAGGTGTGTGCGTGTGTGTCTGTGTGTCTGTGTGTCTGTATGCATGTGTGTGCATGTGTGCATGTGAACGTGCGCGCGTGCATGTACAGCTGCGCGTGAACCGGTTCACGAATCATTCTGCTCCTTGCTTGGTCTTTCTGCGTCGCCACTTGCCATGTGACGCACCCCTCCCTTTCTCCCTCCCCCTCTCCAAAACATACATCCTGTCGCAGGACGAGCATGGGCACATGATCCATGTCGTGGGCTTCGTACCATGGGCATTCAAGTATGTGAACGAGAAGCATCAAGGCGTAGCTACGGAGTGGAAGATGGTGCAGGTGCTATCGGCGTACAACGCATTTGTGGATGCAGACGCGTGCTGCATCGAGGCCATGGCAAACGCAGCCTTCTACTCCACCTTGCCGCTGCCTTCCCGCTTTGTGCAGCAGCCACCACTCTCACTGCCACAACTTCAGAGCAAAGGGTATGTGCAGGCCAAGACGCGCGCCGTTGTGCCGCGCATGTACATCTCCTTCTACGTCGGCGACTACGACAGCGCCGCGTGGGTGTACAACGAGCTCAAGGCGCGCTGGGACGACGGCAACCGCGGCAGCGTGCCGCTCGGCTGGGCCGTGGACGCTGAGCTGAGCTGGCGCTTCCCGCCAGCCTTCATGTACGCGCTGGGCAGCACGACGGCCTCCGATCGCCTCATCAGCGGTGATAGCGGTGCCGGGTACCTCAACCCGACGCAGCTGCTCCCGCCACGTTCGCCGTCCAGCTATCCTTCCGCAAATGCGTCGTGGATTGCGCATAACATTCCGCTGTTCCGCCAGTTTGACATGAGGTTCACGGGGTTTCTCATCAACGGGGATGCCGGCGCCATGACGCCAGAGGCCGAGCGCATGTACGCGCCCTTCTCCGCGCTGGGCGTGGTGGACGAACTCAACCCGGCACAGGGCGCACCGACGCGTCTGAACGGCAACATGCCCGTTTTCTCGCAGCAGGACCTCCCTTCCGACGGCAACGCCACGCGCGCTGCCAGCATCATTGCGGGCAGATACAACGCGTCCAACCCCAACCCGCAGTTCTTTGTCTGGCGCAACGTGCTGCAGACGCCAACGTACTACAAGCAGCTAGTGCAGGAGGTGCGGGCGCTTGCCGGCGATAACGTCGCTGTTGTGGACCCGCACGTGCTGTCGGCGCTCGCACGCGCGCACCTCGGTGGCGACACAGATCACCAGGTGTCGTACGAGCCCGAGATTATCGCGCCATTGTACCCAGTCGTCAGCGCCCCCGTCACCGTCAACATGACCGTGCGCAACGATGGCTGGGGCGACATCAGCCCGCACGCAACCCTGTGCGCCGGCTTCAGGTCATCATCATCGTTGCCGTTGTCGTCAGCGTCTGACCTGACGTGTGTGCCGTTGGGGGTGACTGTTGGCAGCGGTGAGCGCGCATCTGCCGCTGCACACTTGCGTGCGCCAGGCGCGTCTGGCACGTATGTGCTTGAGTACCAGCTTGTTCTGCCCGACGGCCGCGGCTTGGATGAATGGGGCAACCCACCTGTCCAGGTGGAAGTGCAAGTGGGCTGGTGAAGACGAAAGGAGCGTTGAGAGGAGATGAAGATGGCTGAGGAGAGAGGGCAGAAGAAAGTAGGGAATGGAGGTGGGTGGGGAATGAAGGAAAGGAGAGTGGTGCTGGGTGGTGACATGGTGACACGCTCATCCGTGGTGCGACACGAGGGTGTACGATGGCGCCATGCTTGAGTTCTGTTATATTACATTCCGTTTGGTGGTTTTGTAGCTTCGCCTGTTTGTTTGCTTGTTCCGTGTCTCTTTTCCTTTGCTTTGTGCTGTTACTTTGCTCGCTGCATGTGTCATGGCATGGAATGCAATGCGTGTGTGGCTTTGTATGATTGAACGAACGAGGATAACACCGGGCAAGGGTATGGGCGGGAGAAGGAACAGGGCCAGTTGCTCATGCAACGCGGGCACAGTGGAGAATCATGGAGGGGAACAAGCGTGGAAGGGAACAAGGGCAGACAATTCAACTATTTCGGCGTTCAAGTTGATTAGGTTTCAGTCTGCCCGGTCTGCCCGTCCTGGATGTTCAGCACGCCCTCCTCGTCGTGGCCATTCTGCGCGTCGTGTCCGTTCTGCGCGTCGTGTCCGTTCTGCCCCTCTTGCACGTTCAAGGCGGTTTGATTGGTCGGTACGTGCAGTGTGGTCTGCCCATTGTGCCCACCTTGCACATCCTGTGCATCCTGCCCGTCCTGGCCGTTCTGGAGGTTCAACACGCCTTGTGCGCGCTGTTCTTTGCGTCGGTCCGTTGTGTCTGTTGTGTCTGCTGTGTCCGCTGTGTCTGCTGCATCCGTTGTGACCGTCCTGCCTGGCTGTGCTGCGCGTGGTGTGCGTGGTGTGTGCGGTGCCACGCCGTGTGTTTGGTGTCCGTCGCCCTGCCAGTTCTGCTTGTTCTGTGCACCACAGCAGCAGCAGCAGAAGGTCTTCTTGCACTGGCTGAAAAACTCCCTACAGTCGGAGGCAAAGGAAATGAGGCGCAGGAACCAGAGCACGCCGCCCCCTGCTGCCAAGCCGTAGCCAATCGGCATCTTCATTGTGATGATGGCTATCAGGAACCCGGCGGCAATGGCGGTGAAGAGCGACTGCCAGGTCACACCCACTGGCTGGAACGAGGTGTTGCGGATGCCAAAGCCGAAGACGGAGGCAGCAATAAGGAGATGGAATTTGGCCTGCGTGTGAAACGTGACTGCGCTCACCTGGCTCTTGGAGGAGTCGGCGGTCAGTTCGGTTGTGTCGCAGCAACATTTGGCGCAGCAGCATTTGTTGCCTCCTGGGGTTCCCAACCAACAACAGCTGGTGATGCCCATTTGCCCGCAGCAACATTCCGTGGTGTCAGCGGACCAACAGCAGCACCTTGCATTGTCATCATCCCCGCCTTCCTCCAACCAGCCCTTGATGCCGGCTCCCCCAAGCTTGAGCATGAGGGTGCGGCGCGCAATGGCATGCTTGGAGCGGTAGACCTGCAGCTGGGAGATGATGAGGTTGGTTTCGAGGCAGACGAGGAACTCCACGGCTGCGACGACGGCGAACACTTTTGGCGGGATGGCGTCCATGCCAAAAGCGGCAAGCAGGGCATTGCCCACAGAGAGAATGGTGAGCACGGCCGTCACCACCTTACTCATGCCTTCGTCCAGGTCGTGGATCTGGCTCATCTGGTCGTCGAGCTCCTTGATCAAGATCTCCCGGTCTTGCTCCGGTGTGGCAGCACCCTGCGCTGAGCCTGCAGCTGTAGTTGATGACATGACGTGCTGTGACATGTGACACACCAAGAACACGAAGAACACAGCAAAGGAAGGAAGCAAGCGATGAATGAAGAGAAGGCACGAAGCAAAACAGCTTGCAGGCTTAGATGCTTGCTTGTTGGAGGCTGGCTCCTTGCTTGGCAGTGTTGTTGTTTGTTGCGCTTTGGCGGAAATGGCGGTGTCCTTCCACCGAACGAGTTTTGGCGAATGATTCCAGACATTTCTCCGCGTATTTGTGTTTGTGTGGGCGTTGTTGTTAGCTGGTTGGTTGGTTGCGGCCCGATGGACGAGCGGGCGTTGTTGCGCTGGCATGCGTGGCGGCAGCTGCCTGGTGTTGCGCCCTTTGTGGGGTCGTCTCGCAGCAAGCACGCCGCTGTGACCGTGGGTGATGGGCTCTTTATCCATGGCGGCGACTCTGGCTCCACCATGCTTGGCGACATGTTGCGCTTTGACGTGCACGATCATTCCTGGAGCAGGTATGTGTGTGTGTGTGTGTGTGTGTGTAGTATGTGTGTTTGCGCGCACGTGCGCGTGTAGCTGTGAGTGTGTGTGTGAGTGTGTGCGTATGTATGTGTGTATGTGTGCGCGAATTTGTGCATGTATGTGTGTGTGTGTGGGGGGGGGGCGGAGAGATGCGAAGGCGTTGCGCGTGTTACTTGCTTCGCTCGTCACATTGCTTGCTTTGCTGGTGGGTCGAACGCCTTCATGCTTGCCTGTGTGATGTGATCTTTGACGCCTTTGCGCCTGCTCATCTCCTTTCACTCACACACATGCACACACACACACACACACACACACACACACACACACACACACACACACACACACACAGCTGCCAGACTGTCAAGGGCGATTCGCCATCGCCTCGGTACCACCACAGCGCCGTCGTTTACAAGCACTCCATCTACTGCTTTGGCGGATACACAGGGGACATCTTCTCCAACTCAAATCTGGAGAACCGCAACGACCTCTATCAACACTTTCCAGACAAGGGCATGTGGCGCCCCATCATCCTGGCAGGTGTGTGCGCGCGTGTGTGTGTGCGTGTGAGGCAAGGCGCGTGTGTGTGTGCTTGTGTGTCGTGTACAAACGGCAGGTGTGCAAACGGCAAGTGTGCGAACGGCAGGTGTGCGAATGGTGGCGGGAGAACTGACAAAACGCGCAAGTTACATGTATGTCACTACGAGTGCTGACGCACACTTTGCCGTCAACTGCAACCCACCATTGATTTGACAACCTCTCGCCGTTCTTGGACGCAGATGGATCAAACACGCCGGTGAGTGCCAGTCTTGTCGTGTTGCTCTTGGAAATGTTTATGTCAGAGCAGCCGCAATGCACAACCAAACATACACACACTCACACACACACTCACACAAACACACACTCAAACACACACACAACCAAACACACACCTTCACACACACACACAACAAAACATACACACGCATGCACTGCAGCCCGCGCGGTCTGCGCAGTGCTGTGCAATGTATGGCAGCTGGATGTACGTCTTTGCTGGCTTCGATGGCAGTGACAGGTACGATTTTTTGTCCACAGAGCGAACGCCTTGACACGAATGCAGTCAGAGCAAGCTGCATCCACAGATGGCGGCTTGTTGCCTCGTCATGCTGACCACCTACCTGTCCTCCTTGGCTCCTTGGCTCCTTGTGTCACCCCTGCACGCGGGCGCCAACAGCCCACATGCACCTTCCAATCGATCCCCCCTCGCCACTCCCTACCAGCACTGATGATCTTACACGCACACCTCAAACCTCCAGGCTCAACGACATGTGGCGCATTGACTTGTCTGCAAACGACAAGCGATGGGAGCGCGTCAACCAGCAAGGCGACGTCCCGCCCCCGTGCTGCAACATGCCCTGCGCCACATCGACTACCACCATGTTCATCTTCTCTGGCATGTCCGGAAAATTCAGCTCCAACCAGTCAGTTGCGTGTGTGTTCTGTGTAGTTGCGTGTGTGCGTGAGTGCGTGCGTGCGTGCGTGCGTCTGCATGTACCTGCATGTATCTGCGTCGTCATTGCTGGAAATAATCTTTGAACCACAAAATTCCGCCTCACTCACTGCCGTGTTCAGGCTGCACGCCTTTGACTTTGGGTCGCACACGTGGCGACGAATTGAATTCCTCTCGCAGGCTCGTATTCACACACACACATCATTGTTGACTGTATGGAAACACTTTGCACCAAGCATGATTGACGCCTTGGTTGAGACATGCACGCTGTCACATGCTGCACTCATTCAGCAACACACACACACACACACACACACACACACACACACACACACACACACACACACGCTGTCTGTGGGCATGTAGTTTCATGGGGGCGGGGAACCTCCATCGCGCCGGTTTGGCCACTCCATGGTCCACCACAACAACAATCTCTGGATCTTTGGTGGCTGTGCCGACAACATGCTCACAAACTCAATCTACAGGTTCAACACCTGTGCGTGCGTGTGTGTGTATGCGTGTGCGTACGTGTGTGTGTGCGTGCGTGTGTGTGCACATTGCGTGTGCTAGTGTCCATATGCTAGTGTCCATGTGCTGGCGCACGCTTTCCCGTCTCCCGTTACTGATGTGTGTTCATCACCCAAATGCTGTGCTTTCCCACATCCAAATCCACGTGCGTGCTGCTGTGCAGATTTGATCTGGCCAAACGCGTCTGGTGCCGGATTGTGCCAGAGGAGAGCGCGTTTACGCCAAGCGGACGCTGCTTCCACTCCGCATGCGTTGCCGCCGACACCATGTATGTTTTCGGCGGTACGTTGGACGTGTCGCACAGCACACGCAGCGGGCACATGTTCTGCCTGTCCCTCGTCGAGCCGGAGCAGCCATCACTGATGAAAGACATTGGCAGTCTGCACGTGACTGGCATGCTTGCCGACGTGTACTTGCACCCGCGTCACCGCACCCCTGGCGATGATGGCTGTGGTGGTGGTGATGATGGTGACGGTGACATGAAGGGGCGCGTTGATTGCGGTGAAGGTGGCGGTGCGAGAAGACAGGCAGCACAAGGAAAGGAGAACCACGACGATGATGATGACGACGACGAGAACGATGATGGTGGTGGTGATGATGGTGGGGAGAATGCAGGTGAAAGCATTTCTTGTGGCAGAGGTGCTGGTGGTTGTGGGGTGCAGTGCCATGCTGCCCTGATGGCCGTGCGAAGCGACGTGTTGCGGACACGGATACGCGAGGCGCTCGCAAAGCAGCAGCAGCAGCAGCAGCAGCAGCAGCAGCAGCGACGACGGCAGAGACGCGGTGTTGGTGTTGGTGTTGGTGTCGGCGATGGCGCACGGGGTGGTGGCGGTGCAACAGCTAGCGGTGAAGGAAGGGAGGGCAGTGATGGTGGCGAAGGCAGTGCACGCAGTGATGGTAGGGGCGAGGCAACAGAGGCTGGCAGCTGCATTGAAGCGACGGATGCTGCTGATGAGCCAGTGCACACGACACACGAGGCTGACCAACAGCAACAACAGCAACAACAGCAAGAGCAGCAAGAGCACCAGCAAGAACAGCAACAACAACAACAGCAACAGCAACAGCAGCCACAGCTGTCTGCGTTCAAGCTGCGCCCAAGGCCATCAGCGCCACTGCACCTTGTGGTGGCGGAAGCAGCGTCCACATCCACGTTGCAGGCCCTGGTGCACTTCTGCTACACAGACACGCTGCCGGAATGGCTTGACGTGACGCTGGCCACCAACAGCACCATCGCCAACCTGCTTGACCTGTGCAGCCTTGCCGACCACATGCACGTGGCGCGGCTCAAGGCGCTCTGCGTGGCATGCGTCCGCATCAACACACGCGTGGACAACGTGCTCACCATCCTGCAGGCCGTCACCCGCCGCAACATGATGGACGTGCGACAACACCTGCTCGACTTTGTGCTGCGGCCATGCAACTACCGGCACGTGGTCATGTCGCCGGAATTTGAGCACCTCCCACGCGATGTCATTGTGGAGCTGGTGCGGCAGCACGAGCTCACCCACGGCGCAGCAACTCTGCGCACCGCAGCAGCCATGTCACCACCGAACACGGGTGGCACGACTGCGACGACAACCACGGCCACGATGGGCGGAAGCGCGAGAGTGAGCGGCAGTGGGAGTGGGAGCACAATGGGCCGTGGAAGCGGCATTGCGACATCACCATCTCCGCTCTCCCGCCAGTCGTCCTCCACCCGCATCCTACTGGAGCTGACGGGGGACGCGGGACGCAGTGGCAGCGGTGGCAGCGGTGGCATCAGTGGCGGCGGTGGTGCAGACCATATCCAGCGTGCGCTGTTTCGTCTCTTTGACCGCGTGTTGGAGTCGTTTGTGCTGACACACGCACAAGGCCCATCGCGCACCACGAGCGAATCAAAACGTACGCTTGTACCTGTGTACACGTGTTTGTGTGCGTATGCGTGTGCGCGCGTGTGTATGTACGTACATGTGTGTGTGTGTTTGCGTGTGTGTGTGTGCGTTTGCGTGTGTGTGTGCGTTTGCGTGTGCGTGTGTGCGTTTGCGTGTGTGTGTGTGTGTGCGTGTGCGTGTGTGTGTGCGTTTGCGTGTGCATGTGTGTGTGTGTGTGGCGTGTGCTTCAATATTATTTGACACCATTTCTGTGCTCGCAATGGCCATGCTCTTGTCTCGACAGGTGACGCACTGCTTGATCCAGACACGCTGGTTGAATTTGACGGCGGCGTGTGTCGCGTGCATGCATGCATTGTGGCAGCGCGCTGCGGCTACTTTGCATCGCTGTTCCGCTCAGGTGCGTGTACATGCCTGTGTGTGCGGGTTTGTGTGCATGGGGTTGTGCGCGCGGGGGTATAGTGTGGATGTACGTTTGAACAACTCCCTTGTCCAAGCATTGCCTCCCAACTTTCTGCATCTGCTTCCTCCTCCTTGTGGTGCCTGCAGGCATGGTGGAGGCGCGGTCCAACTGTGTCCGCCTTCTCCTGGGCGACCGCTTGCTCTCTCCTTCTGCAGCCAAGCATCTTCTCTGTTACGTCTACTTGGGCGAAGTCGAGGCCGTCTCTCCTCAGGTGCGTGAATGTTTGTTTGTGTGTGTGTGTGTGTAAATGCTTGTGTGTGTGAATGCTTGTGTGTGTGTGTGTGTGTGTGTGAATGCTTGTGTGTGTGTGTGTGTGTGTGTGTGTGTGTGTGTGTGTGTGTGTGTGTGTGTGTGTGTGTGTGTGGATGTGTTTTTGACAGTTGTGGAGTGAGTCTTGGTGTCTCCATCACACCGTCCCCCATGTTCGTGTCACATCACAACACACTTTTATGGGCGCTTGCAGGATGCGGTGGTGTTGGCCTCGTGCGCCAACTACTTTTCCTTCTCAACAGCACACCTGCACGTAAGTGCAGCTTATGCACTGAGTGATGGATGGGTGGATACGGGAAGGGGAAGACGAGAGAGGAGCGAGGGGCGAAAAGCTTGACACACACACACACACACACACACACACACACACACACACACACACACACACACACACACACACACACACACACACACACACACACACGCAAACACACACACAAACATGCATGTGTGCTCACGTCGCTTCACACCCCCCCCACCAAACACCAACTCCATGGGTAGGACACGTGTCATCAGCGGATCCAGGCGACGTTGTCAACGTCCAATGCCGTGCCGGTGCTTAAAGCTGCTGCTCTTGTGCACAACGATGATGCCAAAGAACAAGCCATGGCCATCATTGTCAAGAACCTGCCCCAACTCTCACAACAGAGCGACTTTGACACTCTTGACAAGCAGCTCTTGCTCGATGTCCTCAAGGTGTGTGCATGCAGCACGGGTTGCGTGCGCATGTGTTTATGTGTGTGCGCGCGCGACTGTGCACACACACACACACACACACACACACAGACACACACACACACACACACAGACACACACACACACACACACACACACACGTGTACTTGCGTCCTTGTACACGTCCCATGCGTGTTGTACCATGTACCATGCGCATTGCGCTGTTCGCACTTTCTTGATACCCCTCACACCCGTCCATCCGTCAACCCTCCTTTCCCTCTCTTCCTTTCCCCTCCCTCCAACCATCATCAGCGTGTCGCCGAAGCACCGCGTGTGCCAGCATGCACCACAGCCAGCACAACCGCCCATGAAACAACCGTGTAATGCCGATTTCCGTTAAAAGATATACACGAATCTTCAGTATTGCAATCATCCGCGCACAATCTTGCACAAAGCGCACACACACTGCACCAAAGAGCTCCACCTCCACACACGCCCAGCCACCCAGCCAGCGTGTACTCCATTTACACCACCCCACACCACCAAACCATCCCCCCCTCCCACACACACACAAAGAACGGACGCGATGGCGACGCTTGCCGAGCATTTGGCGGAGCGCCGGGAGCCCGAGGCGCACGAGCTGGAGGCGAAGAACTTCCCCGAGCTGAAGAACGACCTGATTCTGCGCGCAGCACGACGCGAAGATGTGGAGCGCGTCCCCGTGTGGGTGATGCGCCAGGCAGGGAGGTACCTGCCAGAGTACAACGCCATTGGCGAAGGCCTGGACTTCTTTGACAAGTGCCGCACCCCAGCGCTCGCGTGCGCCATCACCTTGCAGCCGCTGGTGCGCTTCCCCATTGACGCCGCCATCATCTTCTCCGACATCCTCGTCATCCTGCAGGCGCTCGGCATGCACTGCGACATGGTCAAGGGCAAGGGCCCCACGTTCCCGCAGCCCATCACCTGCCGCGAGGACATTGACGCCCTCAACGCCGACGTGGACGTGCATGAGTCCCTCGGGTACGTGTTCAAGGCCATCACGCTCACGCGCCACCGCCTGGGAGGCCACGTGCCGCTGATTGGCTTTGCCGGCGCGCCCTGGACGCTCTTCGCCTACGCCATCGAAGGCAGCGGCTCCAAGACCTTCTCCAAGGCCAAGAGCTGGCTGTACAAGGACCCGGAGGCGTCACACCGCCTCCTCTCCATGATCACAGACGTCACCGTGCGCTACCTTGTGGCGCAGGTGCGCGCCGGTGCGCAGCTCCTGCAGGTGTTCGACTCGTGGGCAGGCAGCCTGTCCCCACGCCACTTCCGCGAGTTTGCCGCCCCGTATCTGGTGCGCATTGCCTCCGCCGTCAAGGCCGAGCTGGGCACCGACGCCGTGCCGATGATCTGCTTTGCCAAGGGCGCGCACTGGGCCTTCAGCCTGCTCGAGTCCTCGGACTACGACGTGCTGTCGCTGGACTGGACCATGGATCCGCAGGAGGCGCAGCGCGCAACCAAGTCCCGCATGGCCTTCCAAGGCAACATGGACCCCTGCGCCATGTACGGCAGCGACGACACCATCCGCGAGGAGGTGTGCCGCGTCATGTCGCTGTTTGGCACGCGCGGGCACATTGCCAACATGGGCCACGGCATGTCCCCCGACATGGAGCCGCGCGCAGTGGCGGCCTTTGTCGACGCCGTGCACAACTTCTCCTCCCGCCAGCGCGTGTACACCATCGGCACGCGCGGGTCCGTGCTGGCGCTGTGGCAGGCGCACTACGTGCTGGATCGCCTGGTCAAGAAGTACCCGACGCACCGCTTCCGCATCAAGGTGGTTGACACGGCCGGCGACAAGGACCTCACCACCGCCCTGGACAAGTTTGGCACGACGGGCGTGTTCACGGACGCGCTGGAGCGTGCGCTCGTGTCTGGCGAGGTGGACTGTGTCGTGCACTCGCTCAAGGATGTGCCGTCCACCCTGCACCCTTCGACGCGCCTCGCCGCCATCAGCGAACGCCACGACCCACGCGACTGCGTCGTGTTCAACCCGCGCCACAACGGCCGCTACAGCTCCATCGCCGACCTCCCACCGGGCAGCGTGCTGGGCACCAGCTCTGCGCGCCGCCGTGCGTTCCTCGCGCGTGCATACCCTTCCCTCACCTTTAAGCACGTGCGCGGGAACGTGAAGACGCGCCTGCGCAAGCTCGATGACCCGGCCAACGGATACGACGCCCTCGTGCTCGCCTCTGCTGGCCTGGAGCGGCTGAACATGGAGGCACGGGTTGGCGAGAAGCTGAGCGTGGACGTGGTGCCGCACGCTGTTGGCCAGGCAGCGCTGGGCGTGCAGGTGCGATGCTCAGCCAAGCCGGGGCCCCATGGTGGCGAGGGCGGCGATGATGATGATGATGACGGTGACAAAGATGCTGCGGTGCTGGCGGAGATGCTGCATGCGAGTGTGCAGTGCAACGAGACGGCGCTTGTGTGCAGCGCCGAGCGTGGCTTCCTGCGCTCGCTCGGGGGCGGGTGCTCTCTGCCCATCGCAGTGCGCTCGCAGCGCGACGCCGACACGGGCCGCATCGTGCTGTGCGGCAACGTGTGCAGCGTGGACGGCAAGACGCTCGCCTCGCGCACGTGCGACGCCGTTGTGACGACAGAGGCGGAGGCCGCTGCGCTTGGCGAGAAGGTGGCTGCCGACCTCAAGGCGGACGGTGGCGAGGCCATTCTCATCGAGCTCCGGGCACAGCGCGACCAGCAGCAGCAGCAGCAGCAGCAGCAGCAGCGTGACGTGGACGGGCGCACCGTCGTCTCGCTCTGATGCCCTGTGTGTGTGTGTGTGTTTTCGTTGTGACTTGCCGTGTGTTGGGTTGGTGTTGTTGTGTGTCATGACCCTTTGGTTCTTTGTCGCAGTTTGCGATTGCGTGCTTGCTTGCCCCTGATGGTGTCAATGAACAGTTTAATCGTCGCAATGACATTGGCAAGAAGGCATTGTTGAGCTCAGCAAGACTGGTGCCGTGATGGCGCCATCCCAAGCACAGGACACATGTGAAGACAAGGGGAAGACAAGGGGAAGACAAGGGGACGGACCGACAGACAGATAGCCAGACGAGCAGGAAGACAGACCTATTTACACGCACACGTGCAGACAGACAGACAGGCAGACAGACAGGCAGACAGACAGACAGACAAACAGACAGACAGGCACACACACACACACAGACAGACAGACAGACACCCACACCCACACGCACACACACACAGACAGACACCCGCACCCACACCCCCCACACACACACACACAGACAGACACCCGCACCCACACCCCACACACACATATACCCACACAGACACAGATGCAGTTGCCTAGGAGAGGAGGTCGACAATTTGGTTTGCGATGGATGCGCTTGTGACGATGCAGTCATTCACGCCGACTCCAAAGCCAAACGCCTTACCGCCCACAAACAGCCACGGCAGGTGTGCCTGCACGCACGCCTCCATGTCGGCGCGAGCTGCAGCGTACAGGTGGTCAAACTGCGGGATGGCACGCACCCACCGCGTGAGACGCGAGGCAGACGGGGTGACGGCGACACCAAGGTGCTGCTGCACGCACTGCCACGCCTCATCCAGCAGCACCTGCTCGCTTGATGTCTCCACAAAGGTCTGGTGGTTGTGGCCCTCCCCGCCGAGCATGGCCGTCAGCACCACGTGCTCTGCACCTGCCAATTCGGGAAAGACGCACGAGTCGTACACCACGCCCAGGAGGTGGCCACGCGCCTGTGTGCGCGGCATGAGGAACCCAAAGCCAGGCTCAACGCCTTCCTTCACGACGGCCTTGAAGGAGGACCGCAGGAACACAAACGTGACCACGGCAATGGACAGGCTACGTACGCGGGCGAGCTTGTTGGCGCAGGCCATGGCGCGGCGGTGCGCCGTCTCCGTGAGCGAGAGGTGCGGCAGACTGCTTGCAAGCAACTGGTGCAGCTCTGCGGGCGGCAGCGTGGAGATGACGCAATCCACGTCAACCAGCATGGGCGCCCCGTCCTCATCCAACAGCGCAACCCCGGTTCCACCGCTGCTGGCCCCGTCACCAACGCGACCACCACTCTCATCGCCATCGTCACGGCCATCATCGCCATCATCGCCAGCACCATGGTGATGGCCGTCGTTGTCGCTGTCGGTGTCAGCGCTGCGTGCCATGCGAGCCACGGCTGCGCCCATGTGCATGTGCACGCCAGCCTCGACGACGTGTTCCCACAGGGCGGACGTGAGCGTGGTCAGGCCGCCCTTGAGCGAGGCCACGCGCTCCTTTGCGGCGCGCTGCAGCCAGCGCTCCACGCGGTCCGGCACCTGCGGGGCGGGCGGCATGATTGGGGTCTCATATGCGGCGGAGAGCTTGAGGAAGCGGTCGAGGATGGCACCCAGCACGACGGAGCCGTACGCTTGCTCCAGCTGCCACATACTGGGGAAGGCGTAGCGCAGCAGGAGCTTGTTGGCCTCGCCGCTGAAGATGCCGTGCACGAGGGCGGTGAGGAAGCGGGTGGCGAGGTGGCGGGAAAAGTGCTTGGTGAAGAAGGCTTCGCACGTGTCGTAGCCCACGCCCTCGTCCCTGTGGAACAGGGCCTGCGTCAGGTCCCGCAGCACAGCGGGGACGAGGCTGTGGCGATACGCAAAGCCGAGGATCTGCGAGACGGAGGTGGGCAGCTCCTCAAGGGCGGCGGTGTCTTCGTCAAACACGAACCTACGGCCGCGTGTTGCACGGTTGGCCCACTCCAGCTGCGGGCCGAGACCTAGCTCGTCGATGAGCTGCAGCGCAAAGCGGGCAGAGGCGGTGGAGGTGCGCAGGGAGCGGGGCCCCGTCTCGATGCGCACGGGCGTGGACGGCTGGACAGCCTGCACAGTTTGGATGTTTCCACCCACGACATCATCCTTCTCGAACACGTGCACATCAAACTCTGGCCGCTTCTTCTTGATGTAGTATGCAGCGGCGAGTCCACTGATGCCTGCGCCCAGCACGGCGATGCGCGGGCCTTCTTCTTCTTTGTCATCATCATCATCATCACCATCATCACCATCATCGTCGCCTTTCTGCGAAGATGATGATGCTGCTGCGTCTCCTCCTCTCTTCCCTTTCTCCTGACCCTCTGTGTCTTCGTCGTCTTCAGCCTCGTCGCCACTGGCGACGCTGGCGTATGTCTTCTTCTTGTTGTGCTTGTTCTGTTGTGAGCGCTTCTTGCCCTTGCGCTTGCTGCTGCGGTGGTGGTGCTTGTGATGGATGTGGCGCCTGAAGGCTGCTGCGGTCTTGACGCGCTGCTGGTAGTCGCGGGCTTTCCTCTTTCTCTGTTGCACCCACAGGTACAAGAGCGCCAGCGTCGTGGCCGTGCCTCCGGCCGCAGCCAGTGCCAGCACACGCCCAGCTGACGTGGGCCCCTTCCTCTGCGCTGCTCCCGTCGCTGGCATCGCCGTCGTCGTTGTGTTGGGCGAGGCGATGCAAGAAAATGGAATAGCGACAGCACAAAGTGCAGTAAACATCGGTTGCGCGAAGCGAGAGAGAGAGAGCTTCGAATCGTTCGTTCAATCTTGCGTGGTGTTGCTCGCACACATGTTGCTTGCTTTTTGCTTGCTTGCGTAGGTCCCACACTCTCTTCCGCTCTGCGTATGCTGCTTGTCCTCCTCGCCACCCGCCTGCCTGCCAGCTCAGCAGCAGCAGCAGCATTGATTGATTGATTGCCGAGAGCGCTTTGCTTTGGCTTTGTTTCGAAGGAGGGTTTTTGTGTGTTGGGTGTGCGTGGGTTGTGTGGCGTCGTCACAGCCAGCCAGCAGGGGTCGTGCAGAGACCTTGTATCCTGACGTAGCTCTGGAGGAGGAGCGACCAATCTGTGCTGTGTGCCAACCGCCTGGCCCATTTCGGTTGGTGCTGTTGTCGGTGGTGGTGGTGCTTTTGAAAACAGACATAAGAGTACACTGCCGAGAGTGCTGCCGTGAGTGATAGAGCTACCCATCAGGCTGATTTGGCTTCTTTCTCATTGTGCGCTCCATTTTGCATCAGGTCCATTCTTTCGATCCACTCCCTCCCTCCCCCCCCACCCTTTCTCATACACTCTCTCGCGTGCGCGTGTCAAGCTTTGTTTGCCTTTCTCCTTTTCATTCCTCAACAAATCATTCCCTCTGCCTTTTCTTTTTCTCTCACCCGCCCCCCCTTCCCCTGTCCTCTCACATCATTCCTTTTTGTCTCGTCTCCTCTCTCATCCCTGTGACTTTCCCCAAGCCAGTGAGAATGCACGGGATCTCGAAACACTTTCGCCCCCGCGTGGTTGCGGCGTGGATGCGCCATCGAGCGACCGCGACGGCAACGGCGGTGGCGCCGGCCAAGCGACGCCTGTCCCTTGCTGCCACCTCCCTCTCATCATCAAAGGACGACAACGGCCACGCCCATGGCCACGCCCATGGCCACATGCACGGCCACATGCACGGCCACATGCACGATGAGCCGCAGTGCTCGTTTGTTGGCCCGGATGGCAAGCCCGTGTGCGCGACCAACACGGTGGAGACGCTGCGGCGCTCGTGC